AACGCTTGGGTCCCGATTTTGTTGCAGTTATCCAGTCTTTACTGTAAAATCGGTAACCTCCATCGATAGAATAAGTTATCCGCTAGTTTATAGAATGGTGCCGACTGAGACGATTCCGACGAAAGCTCTGCTCGGAGCTAGTTGTTGCTAGTCACTTTGGAAAACGCCAACCATGGGCTAGTGCACGTTGACGGCAATTATAAGGAGAAGGCACGAGAGATAGTAGAGAACTACGTGCCTACAAGACCAAAAGAGATGCCTGTGGAGATGTCCATAATTCTAAAAGACGAAATGCCAATATACAGCCGACCTAGACGCTTAGCTCCCAAGGAAAACGATGACGTTGACAGGCAAATAGACGAGTGGCTAAAACGGGGCATAATTAGAGGTAGTTGCTCTGAGTTCGCAAGCGCGGTAGTAGTCGTGCAAAAGAAGGATGGTACATCACGAGTTTGTATAGACTACAGACTCTTGAATTGAGTAGCGGTAAGAGAATGTTTTCCATTACCCATAATTGAAGACATTTTAGATAGATTGGCAGATGCGACAGTATATACCACGCTGGACTTAAAGGACGGATTCTTCCACGTGAAAGTAGCAGAACATAGTCGGAAGTATACCTCGTTTGTTACACCAACGGGGCAATACGAGGTCCTAAGGGTACCTTTTGGATTCTGCAACTCTCTAGTGGTGTTCCAGCGCTATATTACATTTGTTTTCCGTGATCTAATTAAAGCCGGCGTTGTATAGGTATATTTAGACTATGTAATCATTTTAGGCAAGGGTTACAACAAGGTCATAGATCGTTTACGAGATACATTGGAAGTAGCAGCTCAATACGGTCTAATAATTAATTGGAGGAAATGTCAACTTCTTTGTCGTCGCATTGAATTTCTGGGACGCGTGATCTGTGAAGGAACAATTCAGCTATTTACGGAGAAAGTGGCGGCCGTGACCAATTTCCCTCTTCCAACGACAGCGAAGCAGCTTTAAAGCTACCTTGGCTTAGCTGGTTATTTCCGAAAATTTATTACGGGATACTCCCAAATAACCAAGCCCTGGAGCGATCTCCTAAAAAAAGACCGACAATTCAAAATTGACGATGAGCAGCGACAGGCGTTTACCGAGCTGAAGAGAGTCTTGAGGACAACTCCGGTATTGCGGCTATTCAACATGAAATTGGAGACGGAACTGCATACAGACGTCTCGCAGGACGGATATGGAGTAATATTATTCAGAGAGCGCCGGATGATGAAGAATTACATCCTGTGCAATATGTGAGCCGGAAGACGGCGGATGCTGAACGCAAGTACTACAGCTACGAGCTGGAGATTCTAGCTGAAGTGCAAGCACTTAAGAAATATCGAGTGTACCTGTTGGGGATTCATTTCAAAATCGTAATGGATTACTCAGCTTTTCAGCTCACGATGGGCAAAAAAGAGATCATTCCGAGAGTCGCGAGATGGAGTATACTGCTAGAAGATTTCGATTACGAAGTGGAACATCGTGTATGTACTAGGATGCACCATGCAAATGCACTGATTAGGGTCCGATGTCTGGTAATTCAAGATGCTCTGGTGGAACGATTACAGCAATCAAAAGACGCGGATCGCTACATCAGACTAATAAAGGACTTGCTGGAAAATGGAAATTATGAAGATTATTCAATCCGATTTGGCCTACTATATTTAGAAGGCGAGTATATAGGCTATTACGCGAAACGAGAAGCAAGTAGCGACTCGCGAAACCGTTAGGAGAGAATTTGACAACATAATTATTGATATCGTCGACTGGGAATAGTGACCAACGCATGCAAAATAGAGGCTTCCGGTAGGAAATAATTTAATTTACTGTTCCAAGAAAGAAGACGAAGTAAGAACCAGCGGTCACTCTTGAACTAGCTTAAGGACTTTGGGAATTCAGCAATAATACTTGGATACCAGCCTGGAGAAAAATCGTTTGACTAGGGATTCCTGCTGGGGAGTTCGGCGATAGTACCTGGACGCCTGTCTAGAGCAGGAGTTAGGGATACTTGGGAATTCCGGAAGGAGAATATGGTGAAAATACCAGGAATACTGCTTAGGACCGACCGTCCTTCGGTCCAGAAAGAACAGAGCATCTTCTGGACGCCTATAATTTAATACAAGAGAGTACAGAAGAATATTTCAGGTCGTCTGATCAGTATGGAGAGTCCAACGGTAATACTTGGTCACCAGTTGAACAGAAAAAAAGAGGATTAGTCGTGGACGCCTGATTAAGTATTCAATACTGGACAGTATATTGCAGCATTTACCAACTAAAAATTTTCGCTATTTTGGCAACTCTCCATATTTGGATTAAAGTCAAGTTTTGCAACAGGTTTTGTTTAAGAAAAAGATGCATTTGCGAGGAAGACCTATAATAATTCAAAGATTTTATCCATATTTCTTATATTTTCCACATTAACCGATGGTCGATAATTCCGAAAACGTTCATGTTATAAATTAAATGTAATTTTAAATATCGATTCCATTTTAAATAAAAATTATGTCCAAGAAACGTCCTGTTCGTACTTCCAAAATGAAGAATCTTTTTTAAACATATTTTTACTTTTTCCACATAGATTGACATTCAATGTTGTAGTAACGTTTATTTTAATGTACAATATTGTTAATTTAATTGAATCCTACAAACGAGTCTAAATTGGACCTACTGTTTAACCCCTTAACGCACAGTTTTTTTTTAAAAAATCGGGGAAAAAAATCAATTTTTATATACTGCGGTTTTGTTCCATGGAAAAAGGCTATATTTTATTCTTGAATAAATAAGTGTTATAGCTTACAATCCCATGTAAATAATAAATATCAATAAAACAATTCTTTTTCTTTGCTTTCACATTGTTATTTTCAATTCTCGATTATATTCGAGTGTGAAAAATTATAAAAGCATAAAATACAACGCCGCTCGAATTATCTCGAGTGTGCGCAGTTTAGCTTGTTTAGCGCGCTCGAATTAACTCGAGCGTACAAGTTAAGGGGTTAATTTTTTGTTACGTTCAACGAGATTTTAAATGTCTGTTTCTCTTATTTGGATCTAGTTTTACTTCATTCAATGGCTACAGATATTATAAGACTATGCATACCTTTGTTCACGAGAACTTATAGATTTTGGGGTCCGAATACCCTAGAGCAGTGCTCGAATTTAGTTGCACTTTTCGGGCCGATTTCGGGGTAGACGCCTACCGTGCCCTCACTCCCGCGCTAGACTGTCCACGTGACGCCGTGTGCCAGGGACGTCGTACGATAGATTTGTCGGGATCCATCCGTGATTAAAAATCTTACACTGTTGATAATTATTATTTTTACAGTTTATTAAAGTTATTAATACTATGTTTACATCTATAAACATCTTCTATATATACATATAATAACAATAATACATGTTATAATAATTACAATTTTGTCAATAGTTTTCCATATCACCCAAGAGGTACTATTGTTGATGCGTTTTTTTAAAGTGGTTTCCCCTATAGGCTTATTCCACTAAATAATTAGAACGCAGTGACTTAGTAGGAAAGTAGAAATCGAAAATATTTTAATTTTCCTTCGATCTTCTGGGTGATTTGGACTTTTCTGCCGAGTCACTGTCGTTTTTCTTATTTAGTGGAATAGGCCTATAGGGAAAACCCATTAAAAAAA